TTAGTTAGTTGGCTGGCTGGCTATTAAATTAACTAAAGGGGGTTGCAGACTGCCAGAAATAGTGCAAATTGAGTCCACTTTTAGGGTTAGGGTTAGAGTTAGGGAATCATGGGAACTGTATTTTATTGTGGCACCAGAGCTCTCTGACAGAGAAGACTCAATGTCTCAGAAAAAAAAACAATTCCCATGACTCCCTAGCACTAACCCTAACCCTAAAAGTGGACTCAATTTGCACTATTTCTGGCAGTCTGCAACCCCCCTAATTCACCAGATTTCCTGCATATCCTCCAACCATTCAGATTTGGCCAGAACAGTGCCAGTTAATCCTCTCTCTTCCCACTTTCCCAGCTGCTTTTAAAATGTCCCGGTTTCTCTCTCTTCCTTCCACTTTCCCTCTTTGGTCCTCTGCATACTTCAATGGCTGAAAACCGAGTTCAAAGTGCAAAAGGAGTTTGCAATTCAGCAGTGGAGGGCAGAAGAGGGAAAGGGATGAATGTTGCCCTTCCCAGCAGGCTGAGGCAAAAGCCAACTGCGGCAGTCTGTCCTAGCTGGTGAGTTTTTCCTCATTAATACCTTTTGCCATCTTGGCCACTGATGTCCCAGTTTTCATCTGTGTGATCTTGGAGGGCATGTGCCTGGGTAGCTAGCTGGCCAACTAACCAAAGAGCCCTAATCTGAGTAAAGATGGTCATTCTGGGGCTGCGCAAAGCCCTCTCCTTATTCTCTAAAATACAATCTCCAACTTGATAGGATTTCAATTGCAAAGCAGAGGTGATACAACACCCCTCCACACACATTTGTTCTAGTTCTTGCATTTATAGCAATTTTAAATGCTATATGTAGCATTATAATGTCATACAAAGCACATCCCTATTAGCTTTTGTGTTGGGTGGAAAAGAGAAAGAGGAGGAGAGTGATCATCGGTTTCAGATATTTTCACACACCCTTGCAGTGGAAAAACATACCGTACTCTCTTCTTTGGGAGCTGCGGTTCTAGAAAATAATACTTAGATTAAAACCAGCTGCTAGCTAGAAGCTTGCCAGGGGCGAGGGAAGCTGGGTGTGGAGCTGCACCTGGTTCACTCAAATAGCAAAGGGAACGGTCCAGAAGACAGAGGCAAGATTAGGGTAGAGCCAGCATAGTGTAGTGGTCTGAGCATTGAACGACGGATGCATCCGCACTGCAGAATTAATGCAGTATGACATTGCTTTGACTGCCATGGCTCATTGTTATGAAATTCTGGGATTTGTAGTTTTGTGAGATATTCAGCCTTCTCTGTGAGAGAGCACCCCGGTGCCACAACAAACTACAGATTGCAGGATTCCATAGGATGAAGCCATGACAGCTAAAGCAATGTCAAAGTGCATTAATTCTGCAGTGAAGATGCAGTGCTCAAACCACTTTTCCTGGACTGTTCTCTTTGCTATTTGAGCCTGCGTTAATTCTGCAAAGTACACAGGCAATAATAGCAAGGAAGAGGAAAGGAGGACAGTCAAATAGTGGAGTGGGGAAGCTGCTTTTAAAACAGGGATGGGCAACTGGATAGAATTAAGACATATCCCTCCCCAAGTGTCCTGATTTGTCAGAGATACTCCCAATTGATCCTCTGCTGTCCCATCTTTTCACCTGCATTTAACATGTCCCAGTTTCTCTCTCCTCCTCCCACTTTTCTGCTTTGCAGCTTACTTCAACTGCTGCAAGCGGATTTTTTAAAGGGTAAAAGTAGTTTGCGCTTGGTTAAATCAGCGAAGGGAGGAGAGGAAAGGAGAAGGCTGAATCTTGCCTTTCTCAGTAGATTCAGGCAAAAGCAACCTACGACGCTTGCTCTCAGTTTGTGTGTTCTTCCTCATTAATAACTTTTGCCATCTGGACCATAGTCTGATGCTGCTTGGCCATATGAGTCCTGGTTTTTATCTGTGAAATGCTGGAAGATATGTTAAGGGTCAAGATCCAGAGTGGTGTAATGGTTGGAGCGTTGAACGACGACTTTGGAGACCAGAGCTCAATTTCTGCCCTACCATGAAACTTGCTGGATGACCTTGGGCAAGTCACACTCTCTCAGCCTCAGGGGGAGGCAATAGCAAACCTCCTCTGAACAAATCCTGCCAATAAAACCCCATGATAGAGTCATCATAAGTCAGAAATGACTTGAAGGCACACAACACACATTAAGGGTCACACATTAGGCCTGCAGGAGACCACATTGGAGGCCACAACTACCATTATTTTTAGTACGCTACCCACCCCATTATTTTTGGTACTAAGGAAAGCTAAAATTTTCCAGGACAGACATTATCCCCCCCCCCCCAAAAAAAAGAGAGTGAGACCCTGCTTGCAAGGGTGCAAAAATGTGGAAATACGGTGTAGCAGAGAGACACCACAGACTGAAGGAAAGAGAGTTTATGAGTTTATTCTGGAAAAAACAAAATTACGCTAGCGGGCTCAACAGGAAATAACTTTCCAAAAAATGCTGAGCCCAGAGTAAACAACCTTTTATAGGATCCCACAAATGTAGAGAGCAATTCTCCCTCCTTCCTTGGTCCCCTAGTTTCACAACATTCAGCGTTTCTTGCTAAGCAGACATTGTTTTCCAAACATAGGAATCTTACATAGGACATAGGAAATGTTTACAGTACAGGGAGTCTGTGGGCTTATCAATGCAACCTTGATGCAGTACAGAGCTAAGAGAAACAAATAGACAGACAGAAGAATTTCCAAAGTCATCTAGAGTCCCAGTTGATCATCTAGTCTGACCCCAAACCATAGGCAATCATGGACAATCATTTTAAAATACAATTTTCGGGCAATTGGCTACTTCAACGGAACAATCTATAACACTGAGACTATTTTCAGAATCACTAGAAAATAAAATACTACATTTACCACAGGGAAGATGGGAGCGGAAGTCCGGCAACATCTGGAGGGCCATCCCTTGCCCATCCCTGTTGGGCTGTGATGTTGCCATAGCTGACAACATGGAAAGAACTGGCAGTCCACAGAACAGCTGGATGTTTCAATTCTAAATCCAGGGAGGAGTGCTTGCCCAGATGGGATTAGTGTGTGAATGGAAGATCCGGAGAGGATTAACGCCTCACAGCACTCAAAGGAAAAGCCCCGAGGGATCAGACACACGGCTGGGGAAAACCCTGGAGGCTACAGATTTTGGGCAGCAGCAGCACCCATCTCAAGCCATATGTGAGCAGTAAAACCCATTTGTTTAGGGGTGCATATGGGCTCTGGAAGCAGAGCAGGCGCAAGGCAGTCATGCATCTGGCAGAACAACATGTTTGGAGCTGTGGATGCAGGGAGGAGGAAATAGGCCTGTGTCGAGAGATGCAACGTGTTGCCAAGTTTTCAAAAATAGCAATAAGGGGGAGCCGAAATTCATGACGTGAAAGCTTGACAATCCGGAAGTAGCTATGAACCAGCTTGTCCTCAATTTAACAACCCGATTGTCATCCTCAACAACTTTGTTTGTTTGTTGTGTGCCTTCAAATCATTTCCAACTTCTGGCACCCCTCTCTCAAGGTTTTCCTGGCAAGATTTGTTCAGAGGAGGCTTGCCATTGCCTTCGCTTGAGGCTGAGAACGTGTGACTTGTCCAAGGTCACCCAGTGGGTTTCATGGCCAAGCAGGATTTCCGTTTCTGACTTATGGCAACCCTAAGGCAACACTATCTCAGGGTTTTCTTGGCAAGGTTTGTTCAGAGGAGGTTTGCCATTGCCTTCCCCTGAGGCTGAGAGTATGTGACTTGCCCAAGGTCACCCAGTGGGTTTCATAGTCTAGCAGGATTCAAACCCAAGTTGTTTCTGACTTATGGCAACCCTAAGGCAACCCTCTCTGAGGGTTTTCTTGGCAAGAGTTGTTCAGTGCCTGGTTGCCTTTGCTTTCTTCTGAGGCTGAGAATCTGAAAGCCAAGGTCACCCAGTGAGTTTCAATGGCTGAGCAGGATTCAAATAGTTCAAAAAACACTGTCTTAAGGGACTCCTCGCAATCCTAAAACCAACCCACTGGCATTTAACAGTCCAGCATTTTAAGCATATGTTGCAAAGACACTGCTAAGTACTTCTGCTGCATTCTCGCCGCCATTCTCGGGATGCTTACAAGGCAAAGCAAAACAGGCCAAGCAAAGGGAGACTTAGTGGAGGCTCTGAGAAAATCTGGCAGGAAAAAGGTCCAAAATAGAAATCCCAGGAAGAAGAGAAGGGGGGGGGG